CAGAGGGGTATGAATACAGCAGCTTAAGACTTACTGATACTGAGCTAAAGTTTGGTGTGATAGTAGCTGAGAGTCATCCTCAACACGTAACACGAGAGTGATCAGATCACGTGAGATCTCACAGTATCGCATGAAATCACGTTGCTAACGAGGTTTGACCAAATAGGCGATAACTCCGCCCCTTCTCATCACAAGATGATTTGAGTGAAAACGAAAAGAAAAGCAGCGGGCGATATGTGTTCCTTCGAGGAGTGCTGGCCCTTAATTATCTGTACGGTGTCCTCTTGTGTTTGTGAGACGTTGGGGGGTGGGGGTGGGGTGTCAGTGGTCCAGCCGGTGAACCAGCAGCCAAGATCTTTATGGAAGAAGGTGGAGCCATTTGGGCTTCCACCCCACTGGGGGTCAGCCAGAAGGGTTCCAGCTACCAAAGCAGTGGCAGTTGGTGTGTGAGGACAAGTGTTTGATTGGGAAGGGGGGGGGGGGGGGTGGGGGGTCATTGTTAGCAACAGCGGCTACTGAACTCTGCACAACCCCCTCGGCCAAAAAAGAGCACGGCGGTGGAGGCAGCCAGATGGGATGGAGGGAGGAGGAGGTACGGGGAAGTTGGTCGGGGAGTGGTTTTAGTGGCTAAGGATGCAGGGGTGGGGGGGCATGTGGGGGTAACTTCAAACAAGTCCGTCTAAAGTTCACATTTTATGGTTTCCTCATCTTTCAGATCCCCCGTCAGCTCGACAGGCTCGTGTGGAAGCTGTCGTGTACAGAGAGGATTGGGGGGGGTTGAACGGCAGGCCTCACACCATCAAACCTGCCCACTTCTATGCAGACACACTCCCCCCTGGTTTCTGTCAGCCCAGAATTCCCAGAATCAACTAGAACTAGAACACAACGAACCCTTAAAAAAAAAAAAGATAAAAAAGGCCCCCTGGAGAGAGAGGTGGCACAACACTAGTGACCTTTTTCAGGCAATTTCCCCTCAAATCATTTCCAATTTGCACATGCAGTCGTCCCCACCCCCCCACCCCCCTCCCCCGTCTTGAAGAGGATGGGAAGTCCCTGCTGGAGACTGCGGGTCTCGAACAGCCGTGAAAGATTCTGTATTAGCAAAGCCGAGCGGGAAGTGTTGGAACGGTCACCGTGAAGCAGCTTCTGCAGGAGCGGAGCGGCTTCCTGAACGTGTCCTTCATGTTTGACGCAGCTTCACGACCAACGGTAAACACGGTTAACCAACTTAAAGATGGCTGCAATTACGTCGCAGCGCTTTCATGTCCGGGGAAGAAAAGGCCCATCGTGCGTGTGACCCTCACACACAGCTGCAGTCAGACATTTACATCCGCTCTCCAGGGGCAGAAATGATATTAATTTGGGTCATTTCAAGGATTTATTTGTACCGTTGTTTTTCCAGGGAGGAAAACACGACGTGCAACATAAAAGCAGAATTAGGCGCACAAGTTTGGATTTATTATGGATGTTCTCTGATCAACATTCGTGCTCAGTAATCCAGGTTTAAAAAATCCAACAAAGTTCAGTTAGGTCATCTGGACAGTTTCAGTTTTTGTTGCGCAGTTTCGTCCTTCATCCAAAGGACTTCATCAGTCCGATGAGCCACAACAAACTCAGTCCCACAAGCAACACACTTGCATAGTGGGCCAACCAGTTTTGCTGGTGATAAGATGGTTTCTGGGGCCCGCCCTCTCCTCCGTCGACTCCTCTGAGGCAGCCATAACCAAAGAGGTTCAAAACGTCAAAGTTCATGCTCAATAATCCAGGTAAAAGAAATCGTCCAGATTACCTGACTGAACTTCGTTGAGATTTTTTTACCTGGATTATTGAGAATAAACTTTGATGTTTTTGAACCACTTTGGCTATAGCTGCCTCAGAAGAGTCAACGGGGGAAAGTTCAGAAACCATCTTATCACCATCAAACTGGTTGGACCACTATGTGAGTGTGCTGCTTGTGGGACTGAGTTTGTTGTGGCTCATCGGACTGATGAAGTCCTTTGGATGAAGGATGAAACGTCTCAAAAAACAAAACAAAAAAAAGTTCAGATGACTTGATTGAACTTTGTTGGACACAGGCTCAAACAAATACAAAAAGTCGCCTAAGTCTTTCAACAGACAACGCTGAGTGTCTTTTAACTTAAGATCGCAGCTTAATAACGTCTCATCGACGATCATGATTGACTGCAGCTGGAAGTTTCTCCTTTTCCAGCAACAAAACTCATGGATTGACCAAGCTCACTTGTAAGGAAACTGGTTCGGCTGTTTCAGGCACAACTCAGAAACCTCGGCGGCTCGAGCCGACAGGGTACTAGAAACAGCTGGAGCACCAGCTTCTCTGTCCAAGGTGAAGCAGGTTCGACATCTCTGTGGGCTGAGAGGCTGCCGACCAAGAAAAAAAAAGGCCCCTGCTTTATGAGCGACACCTTCCACCTCGACAGAAATTTGCTGCCCAAAATGAACAAAACCACAAGCCAGACGACTTCTAGAGAAAAGTTTCACGTTCAGACGAGACTAAGGCTGAGCTGTTTGGCCGCAGCGACAAGAAGAGGCTTTTAACTTCAAGAACACTGTGCGCCAACTACTAAGTGTGGTGGTGGTAGGATCATGCTGTGGGCTGTTTTGCTGCCGGCTGTATTTTAGCATTGCATGAGTAGGATAGAATAATAAAGAGGGAAGGCTACTTCCAATTCTGCCAAGTAGTGTTTTCAAATTTTCATCCAGGTTTACGTTAGAAGCTCACTGATGGGAACAACATTCAGGTGGGACGTTGAACCAAGAATTATCAGGGATGTATGGACAGCAGTCCCTCGCTACTTCGCGGTTTATCAACGTAAGATTGTACATGACACACAATTATCAACTTTAATATTACTCGTGATTGGGACAGTACAGGATAAAAAGTTAACAAAAAATAATAATATTTCGGACAGGCACAGCCATTTTGTAGTTTTCTTTCAATAAGCCTACACTGCAAGGCCAGTCAAAAGAACTACACTACCCAGAAGCCAACAGTGCTTTCGGCCACTGCTTTTTGCCAAAATGGAGGAATGTTTTGCAACGCTAAGTCAGAAGTAACGATCTATCTATTATCTCAGAACTGGCAGGAAAGTCGCAAATAATCCTGAAGCTCAATTATCCAAGCGCACATCAACCTGGATGGGGCGGTGGACTTTGGCACTGCAGAGCAAGACTAGAACCAGAACCGAGCTGTTGGTCTGCAGAGCTAGTGAGTACCCATATAACATTTTACAGTACTGTACAGTACATATACGTATGTTATCAAAGTTCATGCTGAATGATCCATGTAGAAAATCCAACTAAATTCAGTCAGGTCATCTGGATGGTTTCTATTTTTTTTGTTGAGATGTTTCGTCCTTCATCCAAAGGACTTCATCAGTCCGAGGAGCCGCAACAAACCGAGTCCCAAGCAGCACACCCACATAAAGGAGCAACCAGTTTGCTGGTGATAAGATGGTTTCTGGGATCTGCCCTCTCTCCCGTTGACTCCTCTGAGGCAGCCATAAATAAAGTGGTTCAAAACATCAAAGTTAAAAAAAAAAGAAGAAGAAACCGTCCAGATGATCTGACTGAATTTTGTTGGATTTTCTACCTGGATTATTGAGCATGAACTTTGATGTCTTGAACCACTTTGGCTTTGGATGAAGGACGAAACGTCTCAACAAAACAAAACAAAAAGTGAAACCATCCAGATGACCTGATGAAGTTTGTTGGATATACGTATGTCTGTAGTGAACATGTCGTTAATAGATTTAAGAGTTTAGAACATTGCAAGAGTGTGGGAAGGGTTTATAAAGCCTTAAAATATATAAATACTAAAATAAATATAGCGCTCCTACTTTGCGGTTTTTCTCCTATCGAAGTGGTGTGTGGAACGTAACCCCCGCGATAATCGAGTGACTACTGTACATGTTCGACCCAGTGCGGATTAGAGGAAATCAACAATATGCTCAAACTCACGCAACTAGTTGTTTTTAAAACTGTTAAAGTTGAACCTGAAGTTCTGCATTAATTATTAAAAAAAACAAAACATCTGATCCTCACGATGCACTTCTGACTGCAACGGTAAATAACGGAGTTAAAAAAACAAACAAACAAAAAAAGAAAAAGTCAAAGAAGGTCATGTTTTGTGCCACCGCGGCCCGATGAGAAACAACACTTTCTATTGTCTGACCTGTGACCCCCACCACCACCACCCCAACCCAGCGGCTGCGTGCATCACAGTTTCCATACGTTGAGCACGGAGGGGCTCGGCTCGGCCTCCATGGAAACCAGGAATGTGGAGTAGCTGGCAGCAGATGTTATGTTGTTGTGGAAAAGGAGCGGTGGCTGCGGTGACAGGGGGGTCAGGGGACATCGCTGTGCCCTCAGCTGCTCCGCGGCAGGAAAATGGAGGACAAACTCCCAAAACTGAACTGAACGGAGCTGGAGGCCTGAACGCTCTACTTGATGTTAAGTTTAAACGCAGATAAGGAAAACTGGCCGTGCCATATTTAACACCCCCCCCACTTTTAAAAAACAAACATCACATTGTGTTTGACGCCTTCACAGCCCACCTGAGGTGCATCTCAGAGGCTTCGCTCCCATTAAAAGTTTCATCACAACCTCTAAAGCAAGTCATCGCTCGTGAAAAAGAACTGCGTGGTGCGTCAGCAACAGAGGGGAGGATGAGGGAGACGAGGCCTGGAACTGACGCACGCACGTACACACGCACGCACACATGCACGCACACATAAATATGCTTCCACAAACAGCATTAATACGCACACAGCAGCTCTCACTCACAGTAAAATAAAAACCTTTTCCTCCTCTTCATGCACGGAGCAGCCGTCACAGCAGAGCAGGGAAGCAGATTAAAAAAAATAAAAAAAAATAACAAAACAAAAGAAGGACAAGCAGGAAAGCAAACAGAATTCAGCCTCTCTTCCTCTAATTCTCCCGTCTGTCTCTCAGGAAGGCAAGCGTACGGAGGGAGAACGTACCTCGGAAAACCTCCTGCTGCATCTCTGCTGCGATGTGTTCTCTCCCCTCTCTCTCTCTCTCGCTCTCTCTCTCTCTCCCTCGGTGTGTGTGTGTGTGAGGGAGAGCGCAGGGAGAGGCGGCGCACACACATGCACACACACGCATGCATACAGGCAGCAGTGTGTGAAGACAGAGGGCAGGCGCGATTCTCACACTCAAACTTGCTTGCTCTCCGTCGCTCGCCCCTCTTCCTCGCTCCTCTCGCACCAGTTTTTGCCTCAGAATGTTAAAAAAGACAAATCTTCTTGTGATTTTTGCTCTTTTTTTGTGTGTTTTAATCTCCTGCAAGTGACTCACCCCCACCACCACCACCCCAACTGAATCCAATCTTCTTTTTATTTGGAAGTGTTGTTCACTCTCACTAACACACACATATGCATGCACACACAGACTACTTTATATACACAAAGCCCAGCGATAGAGGGAGGGAGGGAGAGGCAGAAGGGAGACGGAGTGGGAGAGCAGGCAAGCAAGAGGACGCCATTTAAGCAGTTTGTTACGAGCACACTGCAAGTCCCCAAAATGGCTGAAAACAAACAGGAACCACGCCAACTCCAAAAACCCAGAGCGCACGAGTTCAGCCGGACAGACGGACTGAGAGTCGAGGAGTGAGAGGAAGAGACGGCGGCCACGGAAGACAGACAGGAGGACAGACCGGCCGCAGTCAAATGGAGGACGGGAGCAAAACGAGTGAAGTTCAGGGGGAACGTTAAAGCGACGCTCCTGAGATTGAGCGCTGTTCCTCGATAAAGTTCAGCGGCCTAAACTGTGTGAGGAAAGTGAACGGTGAAAGTCGATGCGGCGGAGGCCGAGACGTCCTGACTCAAAGGACGACTGAGTCGAGTCCTGAAAAAACATCAGATATGATGCTTCTAATGATCCAGACTAATGATTCTACCATATCATTGCTTCCAAAAACAAACAGACAACTAAAGAGGCAGTCAAAAGGGACAAAGACTAGGCCTGTCATGATAACAAATTTTGCTGGGCCATTAATTGTCTCAGAAATTATTGCGATAAACGATAATATTGTTTGAAATTTGACAGTAATTAGTAATCATTGTCAAATTTAAGAAGAAATGTTGGTTAATTTGTTTTGAGTGTAGTACTTTTTTCGACCACCGGATGGCAGAATAAGACTGTTTGAACTGAAGGATGGATAGTTGAGCAGCGTGTGGGAGGGAGGCCTGTCATTCCACGATCTGTTACGGAAGCCGATCCGTAGTGCAGCTCATTTGCGCATGCACTAAAAGGAATACTTACGGGTCGGACGGATCGCCGTTGAATATGCTAGATGTTCTGGTATGATTCCGTTTATGAATAAGAACTGTCTTACTTCACTTAGAAAAGTACGTGTTCTATCTCCGCCGATCTTCATGTTTCTAATTGACGCCACTCGTATTACCGTTACAATCATTGACATATTTACGTCGTGGTTAAGATGATATGCAACTTCACCACTGAGCGGCGCTGTTTCACCATGGAAATAATTCATTCTGTATCTTGCAGGGTTTTCCTCATTCAGTCCAGGCTGGGGGTCAGGTCTCATGCGTCGCATATCATCTTAACCAATGATTTGTAATGGAAACACGAGTGGCATAAATTAGCTACATGAAGATCGGCGGAGATAGAGCATGTACTTTTCTAAGTAAATTAAGACAGTTTTTATTCATAAACAATGGCGATCCGTGTGACCCGGACGTACACTACGGATCGTGCTTCCATAACAGATCGGGGAATGACAAGGCTCCTTGGCGTGACATGGGCCGCCTCTCTTTCCTTTTCTTTGGTTCTCAAAATGGCGGACGCTCGGTGTGGTTTGAGCTCTTTAGCATAGCATTTTCCACACAAAGCTTTTAATAAAATAAATCAGTAAACCATTTCTTAGCTTCTTTTTTGCAGAAAAAAAAAAAAATTTACACAAAGGTACGGGTTTCAACCGTGAATTTTGGTTCTTCGACAAGACAAAGGTTTTTTCCCCAAGGTCAGCCTGTTAGCTTAGTTCGTAGCTTAGCTTCTCAGCTTAGCTGCTTTCAACTATCCAAAAACACAATTTTGGAAGGTTAAAACAGATTTTAAAGAGAAAGGGAGGGGTCAGTGAAGAGCACCAGAGTTGAGCCTTTTGTCATCCAGTGTCTTCAGTAGAAAGAGAGAGACACAAAGAAACGATAAAGCTGATAAATAAAAATGAGGTCGACTATTTTCATTTATCATGCGATTAATTGATCTATTGTTTATCGCGACAGGCCTAACTAAGACTACTGTCCAGATGCACGTAACCACATTTCTTGTCTCTTTTATGGGGTACGGCGGTCCAGTTCCGCATGTAAAAGCATAATAAAGTAGTTGAACTTAAAACCCCAGAAGGTTGAGAATGTTGGCACAGAAGTCTTCAAACACCCCCTCGCTGAGACTCTGGTTGAAGTGCCGGCAAATTACTCAGTCCCTGAACTGTTTTCACAAGTGAACAGTGAAAAATACCAGAGAAGAAGATCCAGACTTGACCGGGCAGGTTGTTCACATATGTACTTCAAAAAAGGAGATTCTCATCTGAAGAGGCCTTTTTTTTTTTTTTACTATAAGAAACGCTCTGAACGGTGGAGTGCAGAGGACGAAATGGGTCCAAAGTGTGCGCAAGAGCTGAGGATGTTAGTGTTTCGTTTACAGCCTGTCACAGATGTCAGATAGGTTAGGATGGGAAAGTTAAATGTCAAAACTGAGCTTATTGGGCCTTTATTTTTTTTATTTACAAAAGATTATCCAAAATATGGATGCAAAGTCAAGTCAAGTCAGATTTATTTATAGATGAGCCCTCTCTTTCCAACTGAGCTAGCCACATCCAGTGAGGATGAAGCTAGTCTTCTGGAATCATAGGAGGCATAGAATATAGTAAATAAAATGTGTTTGTCGTCATCCATCACGCCCTCAAGCAGCAATGTCAGCTAACACTTACACACGCTCACTATTTCAGCTCTGTGACTACATTCTTTGGAGGCGGACTGACTTCAGCTTCGATGTCCTCTCGGTTCTTACATGCAGTAAATCACACCAAGAAGCAAAGGTGCCTCAGGCCTGGGATCATCGTCACATGCAGTTTGTCCAGAATTTGACTGGAACGTCGCTGGGGAAGTTGTGCATGTTTGACAATGGAAACCATCACTAAATTGCAACTTGATAACTTTATTTTCTTTCGGCTGCTCCCCTCCTCAGGCGTCGTCACAGTGAACTAACTCGCTCGAAGACTTGGCAATTGTTTTTACGCAGGATGTCCTTCCTGTCGCAACCACAGACCACCGAGCTACCAGCCCTCTGTGTGGAGCAGAGAGCTGCCATCTAGGGAGCCCAGGGGAGCAGACAGTGGGGGTTAAGGGCCTTGCTCAAGGGCCCAGAGTGGGGCAAACGAGGGTGGAGGCTTCACCTTTCCTATCCACATTTTGATGTTGGTCTGGGGAGTCGAACTGGCAACCTTCTTATCACAGGCTTGCCTGCTCTCTATTGCAACTTGTCAGCGCACTGTAATTAGGTTTTATCTGTGTGACACATTTTTATGCCAAGAACCTCAGTTTTTAATCGTACTTAGCTTTTCACACAGATTTTCTTTTTTTGTTGTCGGAATCTGTTGTGTATTATTATTATTATTGTTTGTTTACTTGAGGTTAAAGTTCAATCATATTAAGACTGTATTTTTAATAAGTCCTGATCTGTAAAACCCTAGAATTAAGACTGTTATGGACTTCTATTTTGTTTTTACTGTATATCGCAACAACACTTCTCCTTGTTCAGGTTGTGCAGCGTGGTCCTACACCTCTGTCTACCCTCCGTCTGGAAGTTGCGGACTTGAGTGCGAGCAGAAAGGGTGGAGGACTGACTGAGCCGTCCATGATCCAGGTCGTCGTCGCCCACTCTCCTGCATGTCTTAGATGTGTCTTTGCTTCAGCACACCTGACTGAACCAAATGAATCTTTGAAAGGCTTCTGTTAGGAACTTTTCTACTGGCTGGACCATTGCATTGGTTTATTATCTGGGTGTCCAAATACTTCTTTAAAAAGTCTTCAGCTGATCCAAAATGCTGCTGCCAGCGTCTTAATGGAAGTTAATAGGAGAGATCATATCTCTCCAGTTTGAGCTTCTCTCCACTGGCTCCCTGTCAAATTCAGAATAGAATTTAAAGGCAGAAGGTTGAACACCTGGAGAGCTGGTGCAGGAAGAACAACCTTCACATCAATGTGAAGAAAACAAAGGAGATGGTCGTGGACTTCAGACATAATAAACACACCTACACCCCCCTGAACATAGGGGGATCTGCGGTGGAAGTGGTCTCCAGCTACAAGTACTTGGGTGTACACCTGAACGACAACCTCAGCTGGAGCAACAACACCACCAGCCTGATCAAGAAAGCTCATCAGAGACTCTACTTCCTCAGACGGCTGAGGCGAGCTGGTCTGGGAAGCTCAGTCCTCACCTCCTTCTACAGGTGTGCAGTGGAGAGCATCCTGTGCTCGAGCATCAACGTGTGGCATGGAGGCTGCACAGCTGCAGAAAGAAAAGCTTTGCAGAGAGTGGTGAAGGCTGCACAGAAGTCTGTTGGAGTCAGTCTCCCCACCATCACAGACATCTACACCTCCAGATGCAGGAAGAGGGCCACCTGCATCATGAAGGACCCCACTCACCCAGCACACACACTTTTTGCCCTGCTCCCCTCAGGAAGGAGGTTGAGGAGCATTAAGTGTAGAACCACTAGACTGAGGAACAGCTTCTACCCTGAGGCTGTTAGACTCATGAATCTCTAACCAGAATAATCAGTGAAAATAATCACATCATGTTGCTGCTGATCTGTTTCATGTTGCTGCTGATCTGTTTCAATGTTGCTGTGTTCATTCGTGCTCACACAGACTCATGTTTGTGCTGCTGTTCGGCATATTGTTTTGTACTATTAGTCCTTAGTGTATTTTTAGTTTTCTTAGCTCATATCTTAGATCTTCTTACTGTTTTTCTTTTACATTTTATACTTGTGC